ACCCCTTTATACTCTGTCAGCGACGACTGACCCCTTCTCCGTTCCCCATTTTGCGATTCCAGAGAGGATATTATAAAGTGGTAATCGAACTTCTTGTAGTGCAATTTTCATCTGAAATCATACTTGTGATTTCAAATTAAACTCGCGCTGCGCTTGTTCAATTTTGAAATCAAGCGTTTGAGTTCAGACCAAATTGTACTCAGGTCAATGACAATTATTTACTCCTGCAACGATTACAACAATTTCGAGCGCAAATCCCGCACGCTTTGCTCATTGGATATGAGATGGTGAATAATCAAAGAGTCGCGTAGCGCCGAGTTAGCTATAACCAATCTCGCATTCAATAAGTGCGAATGGAATAATTTTTTAATTAAATCTCATCAAATCCTGAATGTTTGGCTATTTGAAGGTTTTTTCGGCTCTGCAACAGTTGGCGTAATGCATAGGGTGACTCGGAATATGAGCTGATAACCGGAGTTGAGTGAACCAATCATAACACTAGAAATGTAATATTTAGGGGTTGAAAATTTAATGAAAAAAGATGTTCGGAGTTTGATTAACCAATCAGAGCGCACTTTCAACGCTATCCACTGTTTTAGTATTAATTTAATGCATTTATCTTTCAGTTCTATCCTTCGTTCTTGACATTTCTGTCTCTCAAATATTCCGTTTGATCACAGTAGCAAACTTCGCTACCCTCTTAAATACCAATCCCGACTCGCTCATTTACGTTTTCTCGCGCTTCAGGCAGTTTGCCGGGTGGCCTTAATAATTCCTTTTAGTGCCGGTTCTAAGGCACCCAACCGAAATTTGCTTAAATGTACTTTTGCTATTCAGTGGTTTGTAATTCAAATTTAATACAAAGAGAATGCTTTACGATCGAGTGTCGAATCACAACCGCCAATCAGAAGAGAAGAAAGTACCATGCGGTGCCAATGAGAACTCTAAGTAAAAACAACCAAACTGCCTGAAGCGCGTGAAAACACGGGGCGACCAAGTCATGATTGGTTTTAGTTTTGTATCTGATTGGTTGAGAGAGAAGCGCGAATTTTCTGGAACAATCACAAAGCACATTGTAATCCAAGATTACTTGCGACGATCAATTGAAAATTGCTCCAAACTAATCAGAGTTTATGATCGGCCAGATACGGTTGAACCCCGATCAGCTCTCTGAAAAACTTGGCGCTCTGATTTCTTTTCTTCTTTACTTCTCTCATTAATCACATAAAATAAAGAATTCACCGCCTTAAAAAGTAGTAACTTACTCTTATTTCCGCGATATTTGCAAGGTGAAGGGCTTTATTCAACTCAGGGTGTTCACTGCTGTAACGCGCTAGTAGCTCATCAGGGCTACTATGTGCTTTTGTCTTAAAGCACTGTTTCAGTTCTTCTGCTCGGTTCATGTACTGATTCACCTTAAAATTAAACCAAAAGAGACAGAGGGAGTATGCTGACAATTCTTTGTTATTTCATGAAATATTGTAATCTTACAAAAAGTTCAACGTTTCCATGTAACATTTTCATAAGTGCAACTACATTTAATCATTTCATTCCCAAAAGTGATTTAAATGAAATTTCTCCTAACAATGCAAACACATGATCTAGCAAACAGGTGGGGAGAATAGACACACTCATCGACTTCATGCAGGTATCAGCTAGTGATAAAACACTAGATTCTCAATACTAAACATATGGATTAAGATGTAAGAGTGGAGAATTGACAGTAATACGTGTATCACCACCGTATAGAGCTTGGGTATCAGTCAAGATCTATTCTCACTTGTTCCAGGCTCTCAGTCAAAGCAGATGAACACAAAATATGGTGGAATATGAGATGGCTTGAAGAAACATTTCATAGCCTTTTCTATGAATATCACAACCGCCATGTCTGCTTGCTCACAATTTATTTTTGCTTTGACACTCACTCATCTTTACTAACTGAGAGCCTGTCATAAGCCAGATTTATCATCTGGTTGTCAAGGCTTCTTGATTTCATTTTATTTGTTTTATAAGGATAAATTTTAGAACAGGACTTCCTGACCAAAATGAACTGACCGATCACTGCTTTACAAATCAAGCAAGGAAAAAAAATGCAAATTTAATCAAACCAGGGAGACTTATCATTTTGACACATGATTTTGTGCTTCAATCAAACTTGTTAAATGATCAGTACCGTGGAATGAGAGTCAGTGCATCATAAGATTCAAAAGCTATCGCCAGAAGCTACTGCTTAGAATTGATATTACAACAAAGAAGGACTTACCCTCTCTCTCAATCTTGTTTTCATCTCTGGGTCCTTTTCATCTAAAAAGGAGAGTGGAATTATCAATTTTTTTGTTACAACAGCTACATGAACCCCAAACCACCTTTGATTGAGTGTCAATGAAAAGCCAAACCAATAATAGAGCAATAACAAAAGCCAGCCACAACAAAATTGAACATCACAAGGAACAAATGGTAACTGCCAAATGAAAAAATTATACACAAATGTATAAAACTGACCTTCAGTGCAGGAAAGTGTTGGTGACAAAATTTACCATAACTAACCCCTACTACACCACTCTTACACAACACAACAAACAAACAAGACAATGAATCGGTTTGGGTATCTTTAACTAGCAGCCTCTGAGTGCTCAAGGAAAGTGCTCAGTGTGAGAGGGAGGGTTAGAAATGACTAGAACAACCACATCCACAAAATGAAATGATCATATGACAACCAAATGTCAGTCAACTGCTAGCCAGGCACAGCATGGAGGCCTGGAGCTAATTAAGTTATTGCCCTAGGAATACGAAACTCTTAGCCATAGTTTGCCATCTGATTGGGAAAAGGGGGATCCTGAGTATTCAAAAACAATCGCAGAGTGCAGGGAAGCAAAACAAGTGCAGCCCCAGATCACTTTCAAAGCTCAAATCAAAATTTCTTTCGACATGAATAGCAACTGATAGACATACACTCAATGGCTGGTAAAAAAAAAGCCATAGCTTCACAGTAAAGTTTTGCAGCTCCTTTTAAATCACTAGCATCATCCATTTTAATGGCCTCAGTCACAAGCTTAACCTGCAAAGAGCATATAAACATACAGTGTAAGATCAAATAGGTAGTTGCATGTACATGTTGCTTAAATGGAAAATTCAAAACATGGAGTAATCCTGTTGATGAAAATAAAGATTTTTTCAGTCCTGAGAGGTACTTTCATGGAGCATGGAGATGTCATTGTACTATCCACTGGTATTAGCCAAACTTTTGGTTTCACTAATTGAGACTTTTTTAAAGAATTCAAAGTCAGGTTATGGGCTTGAAGGGCCATATTACTGTTTAGCATTTCCAGCTCTCTGTGGCATGAAGCAATTAAGAGTGATGCCACTCCCCCCATGAAGGAGTTGTTGGTCCATCCCAGGGTTGTAACCCCTTCTGCATTTTGTAGGTTTCTGGGACAGTTTGTTGGTAACCATTATTGCTCCTGGTTGAAACTTGTGGTGTGACAAAAGAGTTTCTTACATAAGAACAAAACACAATGACCAGCCCAGCCATGCCCAATCCTGATCCTTTCAATCAGGAGTCTATTACACGGACCATGAGGTCACAATAGCTCCCTTTCTTTCCCAGAACTGATTAAAATGTACCTTCTCCCTATAATATCCATACACTATCCAGCATTGATGTCATGAGAATACTCAAAATTATCACTCAGAGAGATAGTATTTGTTTTCATGATTTAACTCCAAATTCTTGTGACTAATTTACAAGAAATGTTTAGCAGCTTGAGGAAAGAATTAACAATCAGATCTTGGGATTTGAAGGGTTAAAAGAAATTGATGAGTATTATAACACTTACAGCCCTCCCTAAGCAGGATGGTGATGGGACATGTTCTAGATCAAGAAAAGGATGTGCAAAGAAATCCTCAAAGGAGATTCTGTCCATGGGATCTCTCTGTAGCAAGGCCAACATGAGATCCTGACAATCTTGTGACACTTTGGTCCCAACAGGGAGCTTAAAAGTATAAACCAATTAAATGATTGATGATGTAAACTTTCTAGCAACAATGAAAATCAAACTTGGCATTAAAAGATATTAAAAAAAAAAGTTTGCCACTGATGATCTCACTTCAAATAAATGGCAACAGCTTAAACCAAACAATTAGACGTGACCTTTACCTTGTCAGGAAATGGCACAACTGCGCACAGTTACATAAAATTAGAAAAACAGCTTTTTAATATATTTTTCTCTGGATAAAGTAGTGATTTAGGAGAAAGCTAGGGTAAAATCAAGTTAATTTTAGACATTTGCCTTAAGTGGAAACTGTTCATGCTTTACATCCTGTAATCATCAAGTTTCAATTGAGGTAAAACTTTTGTTAATTATGTCCATTTAACAAACTAAGTTAATTGCCACAAGCTCAGTAGACTCTCTTGGGCAATCATCAACCTAATTAAGTTCATGTTCACATGAAACATTGCAACGATGTTACAGTTCAATCTTTCAGCTCAAAACCACTTTTGTAGCAAGTGTTTTATAGAGGCACCACAGGGATTCTCTGCAGTTGATTTTCAACATTTATGATAACCTCTTCCTTCTACTGATCCAGTCAGTGTTGACCAGTACCTGGAATGGAAGCTTTTGGCTGAATTGTGAGGATCTACAAAGTAATAGGGTTACGGTGGTATTTTATCTTGAGGCTGGCTAAACACAGTGGGAACTTTTGGATAACCCAGGAAGAATGTAAAGTGCAGAAGAAACAATGTGAATAAAAGAAACATGAAATCATGCAACAATGAAATCTTTATAGCAGTTTTGTGATCACTACTGGTGTTATCCTTACCTCTATAGGAGCTGAAGATCGAATCTTCGTTTCAAGTTCTGCAAAAGACCCAGAGGCAAAAGGTGCCACACCAAACAGTGCCTCTTAAAAAGAGTGAAAAAAAAGAGACATTTATTATTTAAAATAAATATAAAATACCCAATTTTTAATGTTGGTCTACATGTCATGTATTCACTTTTTAATATGTTGTTACATTTCGTAGAAAAGGTTGTGGTTATTCATCACTGGGAATGTGATTATTCAGTTCCATTTTAAAAAATGTTGTCCCTTGAAAGTACCGGGTATTAAATAAAAAATAATTCCAGATAAAATGGAAATTAGTGATTATAAATGCTATTTACTTGCTAGTTGCTCAAATAAACCAAAAAATGTCTAGTGTATGAATCAATATAAACACAATCTCTGAAACAGCCCACATAGTGTTAAATAGTCCGACTAATTTTTAAATTATTGGTTTAATTGGCTTACAGGAGATGAAAGCAACCAAAACAACAAACAAACAATAACAAAACTGAGAAGGAGCAGTCTGTCCAACAGTGACTCACCATAGAGGATAACACCCACAGACCACAAATCTACCCTGGCATCATATTTTAATGAACAGATCATCTCTGGCGCCTGGTAAAAAAAAAAAAGTACGTATTAATATTAATCATATTAGCTATGAATTCAACCTAATACAAAATAAAAGTGGCCCTAAAACAGATCCTTGTGGAACTCACACATTGTTTCTGGTTTGGTAGCGCTAGCCAATTGATTTTAACAAAATGCACAATCACGTAATGTCAACAAACCTTAAATTCTAAAATCCTTGAACATTCCTTCAACCCTTTAACTCCCATGATTGAGTGACCAAGACAGAAAATCTCTTTACAATATCAATACAATATTTAGCAGACAAGTGATGAGAAAAAAAAAATTAATTAAGGGATTCTTAGTTCATCCAATACCAAATTCTCCAAACAAACATCACAAAAACTATGTGGCAGAAGATAAGGAGAATTTATCAATGAGATCTTGGGCGTTAAAGGGTTAAATTTAAGTTTCATAACGAGTTCCATACTTTCCACATTGTATTTATTTCTCCATTTATCTATTTACAAAAACCAAGGCCATTAATTTTTTTGTTAGGTTAGCTCTACTTGGATGACTGATCTTTGCTACAATATCAAATAAAAATGTTATGATAAGAATTTCAGTTGTAATACACCAAAGAATATTTCTTAACAAGCCTCATCGGCCAACATACAGTACCATGTAAAGAGGAGATCCTCTTAGTGTCCTTGTCTCCTCTCCACTATGTAAATACTGTGCAAAACCAAAATCTGTGTAAAAAGTAAGTATGTAGGATGGTGAACAAAACAGAATAAGTAAGTTCATCTAACATGGCCTGCCCTGGGTTATAACTTACAACAAGCAAAGAACCTGCATGAAAAACAAACTAAAACCTTCTGGATGTGAATTGTGAAGACCCCTTATTTTCAAATCAAAATTGATCTTGACAGGAATAACCAATGTGTGATATTCAAGACAAAAATTGAAGTTGGGGTCTATTTTAGAGGAATACATCAATTGAGAGCAAAAATGGAGTTAAAATTTTAAGCAAAAACAACAAGTCACCAACAAGCGTTACCTGCCAATTTTAGAACAGGATTTTGTGGGTCTGATAACAGCAAATTCTGAGGCTTAAGATCCATGTGAGCTATGTTGTTCACATTCAGAAATTGAAGTGCAAGAGCTAAAGAAAAAAAAAATGTCATAATAGACTAAAATTACAATTGCAATTAATTAATTATTATTTACAAAGAAATTTGAGCCTTAATAGGGGAAGGGTGAGTGTAGTGTTCTGCACCGGATTACTGACAGAAATTTCGCTTTCTTTCTATAAATACTACAGAACTACTTCTTTTCAAGTCCAAGTTATATGTACCAGGAGGGTAAATATTTGATTATTATTGATTATTATATCATGATATCTCAGAGGTATCTAGATCAATCATCTGTAGAGGCCACAGGCTGGGGCAAATAACTCATCAGCAGGACACTTCCACATCATGATATATCTGGAAAATGGCCAAGTTCAATGGTTGTTTTTTCATTCAATTATTGAGTTAACTTTTTTCTTCAGATAATTTTTCATAAATCATTCTCACACAGTTTAAGAAAGTGATCTGTAATTTACATTCAAAGCGACAGTACTATGATTAAAATTAATATGTATTTCTTGATAGCAAAACTCAGATGATTCAATTTTAAATCTTAAACAGAATTATATTTTCCTCATATACCTAACTGTTGTAAAAATTTCTTAGCAATAGGCTCAGGTAGACCTCTTCTGCTGTGAATAAACCTGGATAAGTCACCACCACTGCAATACTCCATTATGAGGAAAATGTATTGATCATTCCACTGATAAAAGAAAAAGAACACACAGATATGAAATGTCAAGAACTGGAGCTTATCTCGTTTGTACAAATTAATGCTTGTGGTAATTGAATGAAAAAATGGGCGAGATCCATGCAACCTTATCCTCACTATTGAAAAGTAAATTTGAACCAAGGGAAAATAAAATTAGTTCAAGTTAAATGGGAGTTTGGGTTGACCAAGGTCTGGTTAGCTGATGGTAAATGAATGGAAAAGTGGGGTCAAATTTAAGGGAAATCAGATCTTGTTCAAGTTAGAGGGGGGGGGGGGATTCCTATTGTCAACGTTCGAGTTGGAGGACTTCTACTGTAGTTCATCACTGCAAATGTTTAACAACTACATTTAACCACTAAAAGAGACTATGCTTACCACAAAGTCTTTCAATTTGACAATATGCTCATGATCAAGTTTCTTGAGTAATTCAATCTCAGTGAGTAAATTTTCTGTTGAAGTCTTGCTTAGGGAACTTTTTTGAATGCATTTGATTGCAACCACATCTCTGGTGTTACCCTATAGAAAGTGAAGAGTAAGAGTGAACAATTTAATGCCCTTTTACTTGTGTGAGCCAGACCAGGACTAAATTTCTGAACTGCTAGCCGCCAAATACCAAGGTTCAAATAATGTACACTTTATTCTTCCTATTATTTATCTCTGTACAAGTTCAAATCTATTCGAAATCTAGTAGAAATATATATGTTTCTGTCAGAAAGATTGTCAGGATAATCAAGCACATAAAGTAACGTATACATACCCGTTGGTGTCTCAAATTCTGTGACTAGTAGTCATTTAATTTTGTCTTACTAATAACAGATTGTTACGTCACTTCATAATAATTATGACGATAATTTCAGTAATTTCGTGTCATAGCGAAACAATTTCTCCCTACCATATCATTACAAAATCAAGCAAACAAGAGACAAGAATAAAGAAATATATCAATTATGGGATCATTTATTGATCCTATCCCAAATTCTCCAAAATAACATCATATGATTTGTATAGCAGACTGTAAGGAATGCTACCAAGGAGATCTTGGAAGTGAAAGGGTTAACTAAATGCCTCAAGGCAAAACTGTCTCCTTGATTTTTTGCTTGTCTTTGAAAATGCTTAAATATCATATGATCTTTTTATGTAACATTTCATTCAAAACAGAAACAATGTTCAGAACTAACTTCAACTGGCTTCATTTGATTTTTTATTTTTTTAAAGGCGCGCTCGTGGTAAAAGATATCTCTTTCTTGCCAGCATTCTTTGTGACTTCTTTAATGCAGCAGATAAAAAAATTGGAAGAGGGCATGAATTCTAATTTTTGGCTTGAATTACTACAATTCACTCTTAAAAAAAAAAAAATTCAAGAGGGATTCAAATCATCCTAGAGTTGTGGAAGAGAAATGTTGTAAGTTAAATTACACACTTATATTATAATTTTCAACTTTTTGGTATGTGCTTCATTTATCTTCACTCTTAAAATAAGAGACTGATTCCTCGTTTTAAAAACTGTGTTCAAATTAAAGATAGAAAAGGACTCATTCTCAGATTAGTTCTTCATAAGAACAGTAACTACCATTTCCTCGATGTTCACTTTCACTTGCGTTTTGTATGACCGGTTCATATTAAAATTTAAGGGAAGAACGAATCATCGCGAATTATTTTCAAATATTCATGGTGAAATATTTTGAGTAACTGTATTTTTAGTAGTTGATGTTTAACTATTGTGAAGCAGCTTCATGCAACTTGAGCTGACAGGGCGGATGAAAGATTGTGAAATTCCGAGTCACTGAAAATGAAGAGATACTTCTTTATAACAATGTTAAAATAAATTTGGACGCTTCTAAACTGTTACCTTTTTGAATGCCTTATATACAGTTGCGTATGTTCCCTGGCCTAATTTCTCGGTGATAACATAATGCTCTAGCCTTGGAGGAGGCACTACTTGAGGAGAACTATAGGTGGCCGCCATTTTGTTTGTTTACGATTGAGCCCGCGCGCGATATCGCTGGTCAAAGAAACTGAAATGACTAGGTACACTTGAAGTGAACAAATTGAATTGAAACTTATTTCAAAAAAATTTCATTAGACCCATCAAACTTTAGTCTTGATCGTCGTAATGGTACTTGTAAAGGAGCATATCGCAGAAACATGGCGTAAAATAATTCAAAGCTCCCCGAATAGGCGAGGGAAATCGTGGGTTGTGTTTCGACATGGAACTTGCGTGATTCTCATGGAAGGGGCGTCTAGCAAAGAGGAAGCAATCACTCAAGCCACGCAGATTATTTCTGAATATGGTCCCGTTTATGCTGGAACCCCGGCTGGAGATTTTAATATTACTGAAAATTCTGCAGTTGAAGGAATAATCGTGACTGGATGGCATTCAGATGTTCTAAATTACGTTGACAAGGATGAACAAGGAGATAACATGATGGTCAGTGCTTTGATCGGAAGGAGCAAAAGGGATCAAGACGGAAGGAATCCTGAAGTTCTGCATGTGGAATACTCTATTTAAGTGATATGGATGAAAACATTTTAAATAAGTGTCGACGAAAATAGCTTTCTTTTTTCAATAGAGCAAACTCAAGGAAGAAGACAATACCATCTGATGGTGATGCACAAGCGAATAAGCCATGTCACGCTCGGAAGTGTGTTAGCATAAATTAATGTAAATTGATGAATAAATTAATGATGAGTTATTGCCGGATAGCTGTGGAAATATGTTCCAAAATGACTGTCAAACTCTCAAAAGTTCTCTCAAAAGCTAGCGCGTTTCTGTGGCGATAGTTTATGTAGGGGATAGGGGGTGGGGGGAGGGGGGCGGAAGCAAGAAGATTCGTCAGAGATTCTGACCATCATGCGTTTTGGGTTGAAAACATGGCGGACGGACCGATTGAAGAATCGTTTGACCGTAAAACTATGCCTTTTTTTCGGGAAAAAATTAGCATACTTTCGCGGAATCATCAAAATACTTCTCTATTGATGTTTTTTTCGAAAATTGTAGCCTGTTTATAGATTAGATTGAAATGTCCCAGGTCAATTACAAAGGACTACTTCAAATTCACTGCCAAAAATCAAAGGCAGTTCTACCTCACTACAGCTGCACGGAAAGAATGCAGGGATTTAGCCCTGTTTTCTCAGCGAATGTGGTTGTTTTCGGAAGAAATTTCACCAGTGGAGGCGAATTTAGCAACAAGAAACAGGCAGAACAAAATGCGGCCAAAATAGCGCTGCGTGAATTAGGATTGTTGGAACCAAATCTAGACACAAATGAACCAAAATTGCAACAATCTGAGATCAAACAGCCTTTGTTCGTTGTCGATGGCGCTGAAGTTGGTCAGAATAAATCGTGTGCAAACATAAATCCTCTGTCAACACCAGCAACGGATGAATCCCTGGAAGATAAACAGCAGACGCCATCAGCTGAAGAAGATTTGCGCTCACCTGTCGCTCAGAGTTCGGCTACATCTGTAGGGAAAGTTTCTTTATCATTTAAAAATATCATTCAGGAGAAAGCACAGAAAATGGGATTGCCTCTTCCTCAATATGAGACTACAGTAGAGGGGTCTGGTTTTGTTTGCACCATGACCTTTAACGGGCAACAGTTTAAGAGTGAAGGAGTTTCATCCAACAAGAAACAAGCTCAGCAAAGTGCAGCATCAGTAGCTATTAAGCTTTTGAATTTAGAGCAAGGACCTGAGAAAAAATCCCTGATACAAAAAACTGTAGCACTAGACAGTCAGAGTCCTGTGGTCTCTCCAGAAAAATTTGATGCCAAATTGTCTTACAAGAATCTCTTTCAGGAGAACTGTCAACAGAGGGGGAACAAACCACCCATTTATGAAACATCATGGAATGGTAATGTATTCTACTGCATATATGCTTGTTGTAAAGATTAATTGTCATCAACAGAAATGCCCAAGCCTGAAAGCAGAGCAACAGATGTTTTGTTGTAACTATACTTGTCAGTCATTGTGCAAAGCATGCACTAAGATAGGTGATATTAAAAAGTCTCTACATAATGAAGTTTTCTTTTTTTTCCTTCTCTTCCTACCTTATCCTAGTTTAAAGACAAAAGCTCTTGACGGCATTTGGTTACTTTTTTTTTCTCTTTCATTTTCTTTGTGTGTCTGGCTGTGGTTGTTATTTTTAACAGTGCTGTCATACAATGTATGTACTTCTAATTTTCTATTCCATGATGGTGCTTGGACAAATATACATGCATGTTTGTGCACGTATGATCATGACTTAACAACTAATATCTCAGTTTGATTGGCTTCCATATTCTCTTACTTAGTGAGTTGTATACCAATGTGTTAGCACACAATACATGCACTACATATATCATGGTGTTAAAAAAATACCTAGTGGGTGCATTTATAAAGTTATTATGAAATATTACTTGACATCAGGACAGGATTGTTTTAGGTAGAGTTTATGTTTTGCTATGCAATCTTTATGCTCTCTGTTTTTATACATTAGCAGTTGGTTTGAGAAACTACAGTAAGATTTCTGAACAGCCCCACACTTCATTACGCATGCAGTTCTTGGATAAAGAAAACAATGGCAAAAATAATAGATTGCCTTTGGGACTATGACTTTGTTTTACAATAGTATGGGGCTGTTTAGAAATTTTACTGGAATTACAAAAATATTTCTTTCAAGGGACTGGATTTATCAGCCGTGTTCAGTTTGGTGACAAGACTGTGTCATCAAAGGTGCCATGCTCCAATAAAAAACAAGCTCAGCAAATGGCTGCCAGGGAAGCCCTGTTAGCTATAGGAGTATCCAATCCAGAAGATGCATTTAACAACAAAGAATCAAGAAAATTGAAATCCAAAAGAACTATGCCACAGATGAGTGGATTTAAAAGAACCTGGGTACACTCTCGTGGTGATCGAGGACAGTTGAATCCATGGTATACTTTGAACTTCTTATACTTAGTAATGATTGGATGAGTGATATCATGATAGCATGATGTAATGGATGATCAAAACCAAGGTCTGAGTTATCTGCCAAAGCTTAAGGCTGAAGTAGATAATTTAGGCATGAGGGTTAATTCATGGTATCGTGCAAAAACAAAACTGAATGATTGTTTTATTATAAATTTTTTAAACAATCTGCAAAAGAGGACACTTCTCTCTGAGTTTCAAAAGTTTGACAATACTATATAAGCAAGGGGCTTGGAAACTATGCAGACTGAGTCACCATGACAAATGTCAGTAATATCATTTGCAGATGGTATGCCACACTGTTTGTACTGCATTCATCATGCCAACTTTGCATGCTACTTTATGTTCATTGAATGCTCTTGACCAATCAGATTTTCATAGTAAGTCTAATGTATAATTATTAAAATGCTCATTGTCAATAATATCACCATTGAACATTAACCTTCGTAACTTATGTTTTTAGTAAATAATCTTATCCATTATTATTTAAAATCATGATAATATTTTCACTTTTGTGTTTTTGTGTTATCAGGGAAGAAGTTGACCAATCCTGGAATCAGGCAATTATGAACAAAAGACAAAAGCTGGGCACAGATGAGTACCCTCTTAGCAAAGGACAGTTTGAAGGAAGTACATTTGCCCTTCCATTAGAACACCGGCAAGATTTGACAGTCGCTGAAATCTGGAAGGAGAAAAAAAACATTGCTGTTGTTGGAGATTCACAGTCATCATTTATTTTGTACTGCACAAGAGTTCCTGGGACTTGTAACATTTTCAATACTCGGACCATGTCCCTAGTTTTGCTTGAGCCAGGTGAACTAACAAAAAACACTTTTATTTAACTTAATGAAAAAATATGAAATTTTAAGTTGGTATACCATTGGTTTGGTAAACTTAAATAATCATGGCAAATCTGATTTATATGCCACATTCAGTCCTCTAAGCTGCAACAGGTTTCATGCCATGGTGTCTTTTTGGCAATCAAATTTGCAGCTTAAGTTGCAAATTTGGTAAGTTGTGTATCCACTAAGTTGCTGCTATGTTTATATTGAGTAAGTATATGTTTTTAGTTATTTAATCCTTTAAACCCTGCAAGGGACCAGCTTCTAATATCTTCTTACAGTAATACTAATGAACCATTTGTTATGATCAGAAAAATTGAGAAAATGATGGCCATTCTAAGAAACTTTGATCATTAGGCAAATTCTCCTTTTCAGTCCTAAAGGAAATGTATAGAGAAGAGTTTGGAGAATGTGGATACTGAATGTTGTGGTGTAATGAGTTTATAGATCTTGATTATGTTTTTACTTTGTTTGTATCTTGTAATGTATTAGGTTATCGTATAGTTGGTCTTGATGCCTGTTACACTGATCATAAGGGCAAGGTTGCTCTTAAGGCTGAGAGATGTGCAGATATTATCATTCCTGAGTCACCAGATCCTGTTTTGACAAGCTGTGGAGTTGTACTGCTTTATCAAGATCCAGAATCAAGGTTACAGTCATTTGAGGTTCTTTTCTAATAAGTGAAAATCTGCGAGTAGCACCTGCACCTTATGGGTTAATTCTGATTTTGAAAACTTCCATCCTTAACTAAACTGGTTTTTGATATACATGCAGTTTACTTCAAGTGCTCCTAAAGCGGTATCTTTCCAGCCAAGCATTTGTCAATGTGGCTGCAGCATTAGCACAGTACTTTCGTCGCAAGGTTTCTGGTCGTCCTGTATCACTGGATATTCCAAGCCTGACAGAACACATTTGTGAATGGATGTTGGAAGAAGTTCAAAATATTGCAGGAATGCATGAAGAAGCTCTTCATCAGCTGTTTTCTCACATGTGGAAGTTCAACAAGAGATGGTGTTCTGTGTTAAGTACCCCTCTCCCTCATGATCTTGAATCACTGAAGGTACAAAGTACTACAGAATAATGTAGACAGGATATTGTAAATGCTCTAAGAAACCTCCTGGGGCCCTCCAAAGTTGACTATTGGGGCTCTTAAATTATGGAGGAGGGTTATACAAGAGGGAGCTGATTGGATGGCTAGGCTATAGAAAGGGGTACTCATCATAGGGCTCATTATAAAGGAGGGCCAGCTCATTGGAAAGTAGGACCCACTAAGCAGGGAGCTTATTGGAGAGTAGAGCTTATTGGAGGGCAGGGTGTATTAGAGAGCGGATGATAGTAGGGCTCAGAGATGGGGGCTTATCAGAGAGAGGGCTTTTCCATGGGTCTGTTGTATTTCTTCTCTTCTCTTCTCTTCATTACTTACAAATGTGTATGGCTACTTTGGAATTAATGATAAATTGTGAAACAGTTTTGGCAGTTGCCAGATTGTAGACAGCTGCAAGCATTGCACTTTAATTTACACATAAGTTGGTTTTCTTATCTGCCTTCAAATTAGCTGGCAAATATCTGAAGGTAAATAAAAAAAAATGATAATGGTCGTTGATAAATCTACCTTAACTTAAGTACATGTACCTTCCTGATGAAAGACAAGAAGTGTAAAAATAAATCTTTAAAAATAAATATGATTGTTACTGATGAAGGTTTTTTCACCAAGGCTAAGGCTTTAGATGAACTTGCGCATAGACAAGCAAGTGATGTTCAGTACTCAGAGGATTATTACCATCCTTGGAGTCTTCCCAAAGGAAACTTCAAACATCGCATGCTTTCAACAGGTTGGCATCAACTTTTTGGAATCTTACATTATTTTAAAGAATGGACTTCCTGTAGGGATGGGGGTTATTCCATTTGAAAAAAAATTGTGCTTAATAGGAGTTTCTAGAATAAAATTCCTTTAAACCACATCATCTTTGGGTAGGTAAAAACAACAGCAGTAAAAACAGACACCAAAAAAAACTATTACTTTAAATTTGTCCTTTCCTTTGTCAGGAAATTGATAATGGATGTCTTCCCTGTTTTGCAGTTAATGATCAGTTGTTTTTCTTTTCAAAGGTCTTTTTCTTGAACCTGCTGTCGACTGTGCTGTGAGAGAATTGAAAGAAGAAACAGGAATCAAACTGGACCTTGATCAAGTGAAAAACTGCCCCTGGATTGATTTACCACATGATGATAATTTGAATCCCCATAAAGGTAAGGAAGTAAGACATAATTGGCCTCAATAGTTCTCAATGCAGTGAATTCTGAATTGAAGAGTCTGGGTTCCAGACCTAGCTAGGTCATTGTGGGTACCATCAAAATCTCATAACCTCACTCTTCCCTGGCATTCCATCAAAGGGGTGGTTGTAGCAGATCTCCTTTGCCAGGGTAAACCTAGGCAGCACAAACCTTCTTCCCTCTAAAGTGATGAAAAATGCCAGTTAAAAAAAGTACTGAGGCTTCAACAATCAAGGTGGCTTATCAGTGTTAGCATTCTGTCTACAGATTTGAAGCATAAAGTTATGTTAGCTATACCCATGAGGATTGATCCTTCTTTCCTTGGCATTAGAAGCAAACTGTTACTCATGGTAACCAGTACTAATCAATTTACATGACATGATTTAGAAGGTACTTGTTGACAATCTTTACACATAGTTTACATTAATCACTAACCTGTTGCAGCTTCTTTAGGTGTCATATTAATTTTTTTCACAGGTGATATTGTGAGGTATTTCCTGTGTGTGTACCATTCAGATGACAATGAAGAGTTAAATTTGTCTCAGGATATGAGTGCAGTAAATACTTCCATTGAGTGGGAAGCAAAGCAAAGTATTGATGAAGGTTGGTACATGGAAACATGAACCTCAGGTTCTTTCCTAATGCTCCTGTTTCAGTTTGTTAAATGTGGCTTTGTTTAAGGCAATAATTATTACTTATTATAATTATGCATTGCACTTGCCTCTAAATTTGTTTGTTCATTAATTGTTGAATTAATTATACCAGCTCATTTTCAAGCCACTCAGGCCAATTTGTGAAATAGAGATGTACATTAATTGATGAAAAGATAATTTATTTATCACTTTCAGTAGAAGGTTTTCCCTCTCTTGAGGCATCAAATGAGCAAGAGGCTGTTGAAAATGAATGTAGCGACTTGATGAGTGGCATGGACCTGCAACGATGCCAAGAGGAGATCCAACAGGACATTGTCATCTTGACAAATGGACAAGTGGTCCCTGATATGGTGGAGGTGGCCCAAGATGAAGCCCAAAGTCAAAAGGAAGATGCACAGAGAAGAGGAATTAAGCGTAAGAGGAATGATGATGATGATGGTAAGAACAGAAGGATCTTTAGATCACATTTATTAATTTTCTTTACTGTATGTTGTGCCACAAAATTAATCTTATGATGCTAGTTTGGAGGATTTTGTATTGGTCAGTATAGATGACTTTTCTTTAACAAAGGGTTTTAATGGGTCACAGAAATTCAGTGACTAACTTACTGTGTACCTGATTTTTAAAGTGCATTTCTAGTTTAATTCTTTTATGATCAGAATATGGATGCAAGAATTTTAGAATTGAGAACTTCCATGTCTATGTGATTTAGTTATATCAACTTTCATTGTTTTAATTTATAGTAATAACAGAGGACTGTCAGTTGAGAGGAATATCTTCAATGCCTCAGGACTGCAACATTTCACTTAACTCATTGTCTTCACCTGTGCCTGAGGTGAAACAAGAAGTAATTACAGCTAAATCACCTCATGTCCAGAGCAGTGTGCATGAAGAGTGTGCTTGGTTTTCTGTCGAAGAGGCAAGAACAAAATCACCTGTATTTGAACAGGTTTATCAAAGGGAAGAATTCCAACAACTTTTAGCTTCAATTTTGGCCTCAGAAGAGAGATAGTACAAAATAACTTTCACCCAAAGTGTAAAATTATATTACTTGTACTTATTGAAAATTAGCAGCCTTGTTACAAATTGATCCTCTGTTTTATCAAATCCAATGAATTTTTATTTTAGAAAATACTTTTTCTGTCTGTTATACTACCTGAGTAAGAGATATAGTTTTAAGTCATTAAGGTCTGTTTTTTGTTTTTAATTCTAAGCCACAGCTAGTAGTAAAGATTGTTTGATTGACTTCTGTAACCCTTTAACTCCAAGATCAGATTGTTATCTCTCCCCTTTTGCTGCTACACATTTCCTTGTAAACAAGTTACAAGAATTTTTTGTTAGATCAAGATGACAACATATACCTGATAAGTTTGAGTATTCTTATTACCTGTTTGCTGGATAATGTATGGATATTGTTGGGAGACATTACCTTTTGATCACTTCAGGGAGTTAAAGGGTTAAACCAGAGAGCATGAGAGCTCCCCATCCTAAAATGAATTACTTTGAATAAAAGTTTTTGGTAAAATTATAAATCATGTTTCATGAGAGAGACAAAAAGGTGACTCATGAAAAGTGAAATCCACTGTTGTCATTCATTGTAGAATTTTAGATATAATTGAAGAAAAGTGGATGGGAACTTAAATTAAGACTTTTAGCAACTATTGTAAATTTTGTATTTGAAGAAGTCTTTGAAAGAATTTCTCATGGTCTAAGTGTCACTTCTGACCATTTTCTCAGAAACTGTCTTAATTAAACAAAGCATTTTGTTAATAATGAGTGTTAATAATTTTGAGATGAAGTATTTCTTTGGATGTCTCTATCAAAAAGAAGTCATTCCACTTTTGCTTTCCATTAAGAAACTGTTACTACTAACTTGTTTTAAAATCGTTTTAAAATCATTCACCTGAATCACCAAATTTTTTAGCAATTTCATACCTATCAGTGAAGAATGACAACAATAATGTACATCAAGAATATCTTTTATTTACCCCAAGCTCCTACACAGCTAAAACTGTCTGTTCAGAATGAAAGATCTTGTTTGAATTTTATATGAATGTAGCAGTAAAAGAAAAACAAATCAGCAGGAATTTTGTGACAGAACAAAGATTATACACCATTACTAACCCTCCTGTACTTCAATTGATGAAAGAAGCTAAACAAACAGAATGCTGTCTCAAAAGGAAATCCAAACTACATTGTATGTTCTGCATTAAATTTTACTTTCATTTTAATGTTTTTTCTCAGGACAACATTAAAATCCAGCACACATGTATTTAGTATTGATTTGAAATGAATTCTTGTTGCTATTATAAAAGATCACTCATCTTGAATTTGTAATTACAATGGCAACTTAAAGCAAATGAGGAAATTCCATATAGTACCCAATGTGATCAGTATTTTTTTAAACACAGCCCAGGGGTTATCAAAATCATATTTGCAGAAGGTGGTGTTATAGCATACTTTGAGGTTCTTTATCAACTAAAACTGGAGCATAACTTAAGCGCTAGGAAATGACTATATTGAGATGGTGAGAGAAATATTATTTTGCAAACCTAAGTGACTGATCCAATCATTTTTGGTCCTTTAACACCCAAAATCTGACTGTTAATTCTCCACTTTAGCTGCTAGATATTTCTTTAAATTAGTCAGGCAAGTCTGGTGTTCAGTATTAGTATTTTTGCTGCCTGTATGGATATTATAGGGAGAAGGTGAATGTTAATCACTTATGGGTTGGGATTAAGAGGGTTAACAGTGGAAGATCCAGTTCAGTTAACCCTGTAACCTATAAGAGTGACCACCATCTAATTTCTCCTCATGATATCAAACTTAAGGTCATATGCATAAGGAAATTATAACCCACTAAAGCAGTTCTTGATTGATGAACAAACTCTCCTTGTCAATACCTTGGGAAATGGAAAGAGAACAGCACAAAGAATATGCATACTTATGTTAGGGTGTAAATGGTTATTGGATGAACTCTGAAGTCTCCTTAGCTTTGGGCCCTACTTCTGGATCGGTCACTGAATGTCAATTGTAGTAGCACAATTAAAAGAGAAGACCAGCCCTATTAAAACTTTAATCAAAACTATAACAAAATTCTTGAATGTGATTGGTTATCACCAGCCTGATTGAGCACCAATAGGACAGCATAGTCGTGTCATGCTTGTAATTGGACAGTGAAATAGGACAGTTAAAGGGACAGTTCACATATCTGATGCCTGTATGTGTAAGTGGACAGAATGCGTCACAAGCGTGTGCTGTAATCTTGCATTTCACTGAGTTAAATGTTGATATTTTTATGAAAATATATAACCAATGCCTATTTTCTTTCTCAAATTTTGTCATAGTTTTGATTTATTAGTAACAGAACTTTGTTTTGTCCAATTCTGTCTGTAACCATACTCGTGATTAACAAATTGGATTCCAGCTTTGCGGTTGTCCAATTTTGTTATTCACTCGTATGATTACTGACCAAATTGGACTCCATTCAGTCCTATTACCATAATATAAATAAACAACATGTATCATAGAATGAAAATTTAACTATTATAGTAATCATTTCATTACTGTTTTTGAATACAGTAAGTCACCCACTAATTACTTGTTATTAGTTGCAAGAGTTAGTGGAAAATATTTTCTAAGATTCTTTTAATCAATTGAACACTGAAATGTTAGCAAATGTCA